CGTCATAGCCTACGAAGACAAGAATAGAGTTTCTAATTAGACTTCACAACATAACAACACATAAAACTTAAACATAAACAGTATAGTTAAAATCCACCTCAGAATTTCCTCTTAGACCATGATAAGCTCTCAACCAATCATGAGAGCAAAGTAGAGCCTCAACTGTCTCTTGTCCTAAGGATGCTCGTTGAGGATCAATTACCCTTCCTCCAGCACTAAAGGTAGCTTCAGAGGCTACCGATGTAACAGGAATTGCCATAATATCGCATGCCATCCTTGATAAAACCTTGAATCTTATCCTTTGCTCTTTCCACCACCCAATGATGTCAAACATAGACTCCTCGGTATGCACATAAAGACCTTCGTCAAGATAAATATCAAGTTCAGATTTCATCGTAGAAGCAAAGTTAACATTTTGAACCATGGAATCAAACCTTGCCCTTCCACTTCTTTTCCAGTTGATGTACTAGCAGAGGGAGCTGTTTGAACATCACTTGCAGCTGATGCAACATTTCTAGCTCTGAAATCCACAACAAACTCATGGAAAAGCTTATACAATTTATCTCGGACCATTCGAACATTCAACTCAGAATCTGCCAGAGTATACAGATCTGGAAAGTATGCCTCGAGCATCTTGAATTTGTTCCTCGGATCCAAGACAACAGCAAGGGAAACTACCAAATTAGCCTCACCCCAATATTTATCAAATTTCTTGACCATTCGAGAAGCCATAGACCTCATACTTGCATGACTTGAGTCCAAAGTCTTTTTTAACAACAGTTTAATATCACAAAGCTCAGGAAGAAACAAATTGGCAGTTGGATAAGCACTTCCAGAAATCATTGTTGTGACATCATTGAACAATTCAAGAAAGTCACATACAAGTTTAACATTTTCCCAATCTTCCTCCGATGGGAGAGAATGATACAAAGAGTCTTTTTCTTTATACAGAGGAAACACATCTTTCAACTCTAAGGCTGTAGACATCATGTGATAAGTCTAATTCCATCGAGTTGAACAGTCTAACCCAAGCTTTTTGGCAGGCAACTGAAGTTGCTTAGCAATATCCCGAAATGTTGTAATTCGAATTTCTGAAGAAGCAATGTGTTTAACACTTTCCCTAACATCAGTAACTATGTCTTGAATCTCTTTCAAACCATCTTGCACCAATATATTCAGTATGTGAGCACAACATCGGATATGGAATATTTCACCGCCAAGAGGAAGTGCACCTTGATAACTAAGAATGCCTTTCAAATTCTTCACAGCACTATCATTGTAAGAAGCATTGTCTACTGTGATTGTCCACACTTTTCTAGATATATCCCAATCAACCAAACGTTTGTGCAATGCATCAGCCACAACAAGTCCAGTGTGAGGTGGTTTAACATGGCAGAAATTAAGAACTCGTTTTTGCAGCACCCAATCATTGTCCACAAAATGACAAGTAAGAACCATATACTGCACAGTCTGATTAGATTTCCACAAACCAGTTGTTAAGCTCATCCTATTCACCCCTTCAAGAAGAGATTTTATATTTCCTTTAAATATCTTGTAATGCTTAAAGACATCACTTGTAGCAGTGGAACGACAGATTTTTTTATAGTGTGGAGTGCATGCTCTAATCAACTTGTTCAAGACTTCATACTCAGCAGCAACAAAGGGTTGTTCATGGACTGTGATGTAATGAGCCATAAGTTCTCGTACCTTAGCATGATCATATTTGAAGTTCTGGACAGCAAGAACACTATCATTAGTTTCCAAGCTTAGATGTCCCTGTCCCTTCCCATCAGATTTAGGCTTCCTTGTACATCTTTGTATATGCCTCAAGAAATGACTCGTACAACCTGATGGGTTTTTATGTAATCTGGTTTTGCAATGGCAACACTCTAGCTTACTCAAGCCTGCCACAACAACTTCTTTGAAATCCTCCCATGCTTTTGAAGTCTTCTTCCGCTTTTTTCGTTCATAAGGTTGTTGTTCTTCTTCACCTTGATTTTCGATCACTGGTTGAAGTTGGCCCTCTGGTTGAACTTGAACCGTAGCAGCAGGAACATTGTTATTAGCTAGATTTGCTGGCAACTCTTCTCCTGCCATTTCTTTAATGTTCTGGACCACAAAGATAATGATGTTAACTCATGTTAAGACCACAACATACTTTAGTTTCTTCTTTATTCATTGATGTCTGTGTGTTTACACTACTTTAGTCCAAAATAAGAAAAACAACAAAACTAAATACAATAAACAAAGGAGAAAGGGGAAACATCCAAAGCTATTCAATTAAAGGTTTTGTAGGGATTGTAAAACAGGGTAAACAATCACAATAAGTAATTAACTAATGTTTTGTCTTTTATCTTAGCAAAGTAAATCAGGAGACAACTCGTGAAATAGATGGCCATTGTTATTAAAATCAATAGCTAGCAGTAGAGAGAGTCTCCACTCTTAAACAAGTAAACTTAAACATCCAAAACCATATCCGTCAAGACTCTCTCTACTGTTATCCCCATCGAAAGTCTAGGTTGCATGGGAATTGTGTTGCTCACCGTTATAGTAACAAGAGTAGAATATCTACAATCTGCAGCACAAGAGATGAATGGAGGCGATTCTGCGTGCTGGAACACAGATGTAAGGCTTGAGGATGCTCTCGGATCTTCGATGAGGGAAGCAAGGCGACGCAACAATCCGTAGCAGTGGAAACAAGTGCTGTGAAATCAAAGATCGTGGGCGAAGGATGACGGAGGAGAAGCAAGCATCTGTCGCTGAATGAAACAAAAGATGCGACCTCACAGAGACGAAATACAGTCGATGACTGAGGAGGTGCGATGACGACGGAGGAGTACTAGGGTTCTTCATCTTTCTTTCCTTAGTCAATGAGTGAGGAAAGTGGGGGGACCAGACAGACGGGTTCTCTTCTTAGCTTAAAAATAAATTGTATATAATATTGTATTATTGAACAAATGAGTCCACAGTCCACCACCCTAACACTTTTGAGCCCGCTCCCAAACTTTAAACGAGCTGGTTCGTGAATTAAATATAACGAGACTTTGAGTCGAGCTAGTTCGCGAACCTATCGAACTGAACATGTCATGGCTCGAGTTCGGCTCGTTAGTTAACGAGCATGTTCGCGAGCCGGCTCGGTTAACAATGAATCGAGTACCGAACGAATTTTTTCGAACCGGACACCGAGTCGTTCATGAGCGGCTTGGTTCATTAACAGCCCTAGTGATGCATATGGATCCTCATAAAGCAGGACCAGATGGGTTTTCAGCGGGATTCTATAGGAAAACATGGCCAATAATTGGTATGGATGTTACTGCAGCTGTATTGGACTTCTTTTCAATCTGGAAGGTTGCCAGGTAGTGTAAACTCTGCTGCCATTACATTATTACCTAAGATTCCTTATGACTGTGCCTTGAAGGACTTTAGACCATTCTCGTGCATTAATCTGTTATACAAAATAATTGCAACTGCTGGCTAACCGGTTGAAAAAGGTTATCCCTACAGTTATAAGTGGTAATCAATATGTTTTTATTGAGGGTAAAAGAATTGTGGATAATATACTCATGGCTTAGGAAATGGTGAGTGGATATCATAGAATATCTTCACGTTGTGCTATCAAAGTAGATTTAATGAAGACGTTTGATTCTGTTAATTGGGAGTACTTGTTTTTAATGTTGGATATAATAGGATTCCCAGAAACCTTCTGCAAATGGATTTCATTGTGCGTGAAAGCAAGTTTCTGGGAATCCTCCACTGCACGGAGTGGTGTCGAGGGACATGACTGGACACAGTTTCTGCTGCTTGTCAGCTTAGCACGCAGAAGACAGCAGCTGGGAGAATGGTGGGATGGCTTGGGTGTTTTTGTGTTTCTGGCATATGGAAGGAAAGGTGCAAGCGAGTTCATGGTGAGGCGGCTCGTAGTGCGGCAGTGGTGGGAAATGCTATCCTGCAAAACTTAAGATTCCTAAGTACTTGTAAAATTTCTACTAGAAGTGATTTACAGGCATTGGGTTTGATTAGCAGGTGGCTGATGTAGTAGAGGTTCTTGTTTTGGGAATGGGAGGGAGATGCCCTCTCGTTCTTGGTTGGGCTTGGCCCAAATTTGTTGTATCTGTTTGGCTTTTTAATGAGAAGAGGAAATTGATTCAATGGGAAAAAATAATGTGAACTATCTACTATTTTTGCTTTCATTCATGGACCAAATAAAAATCCTCACTAAAAGCATATCATTTTTAAGATCTCTTTACTAATACAATTGGTATTATTATTAGTTTTATTGGAAATCTTGGATATACAATACAATTAACCAGCTATAGTGTATTTACAGTCAACAAAAGGTGTGGAAAAAATAAGAAAATGATCGCCTAATTAGCCACACTTCTGGCTCTTCTCAATTATAATTCATTTTGGTCATTATGTGTGTCACTTCATCATGCCTCTTTTTCCTGAGAACCTCCATTTCCACTGTCAATCTCTGATTTTCTTCACCCACAATTTCGGTTTGCATCTTTGAAGCATCTTCTCGATCTAGCTTTCGGTTGGTATTATTATTTGTTAAGTAAATACGACGAATATGGAGGGTGGATTAGTATATTCTTAATTAAATTATGTAAAAATATTAACACGTTTAAAATGAACGAACTTTTATCTTTTTCATCTCACATATGAAAAATAATTTCTTTTCGTTGAAATTTTATCTATTCAAATCTAAACAAGCCGATATTCTGTACTTACTTACTAAGCAATCAATGTATTTCGCACAAAAGAGCTCAAAATTCTTAGCATAATAGATCTTAATGTAAGATTTATCCCATTTGATACATATATTAATCTCCATTGGAAGATTTATTTCATCCGAATCATCTTTCTACATTAATTAACAATAACATGCATGATAATAGAAACACAACAAATACAAAATAACACGTTTCTTCTATCCAAACAGCAAAAATAAAAAATCATTATGCCTAATATTTTATACTCTTTTCATTTTTACCCCGTCAGTTTATCTTGAGCTTGCTCCAGCACCAACTCTCCCCACTCAGCACCTCCCCAAACACAATCGTGAGGTAGCACTCCGTGTACGCCGAAGTCTTCACTTTAACCCCCAAAAACGACGACTTCCCATGCAGCTTCACCGTCGACTTCAGCTCCACCTTCCCCGACGAGATCTCCATGATCGCCGCCGGGTTGCTCATCATCTTCGCCGGCATCAGAACCGACCACGTCGTTATGTTTACGGACGACCGAGGGTGGATCTCTTGTCCTAGGATCGGGGCTTCGCCGACCACGTCGTCGCCAAAAGTCACCAAACCGGTCGAGTCACCGAATTTGAAACCGGCGTAGTTTTCGTTGCTAATGCCGACGATCATCTTCGTCGTGATGTTCTGCTGCGTGGTTAGATCCATCATTGTGAGGTTGCTCAAGCCCACTGGGTAAAGGACGACGGTTGGGTTCCGGGGCCGGAACACGGTGAAGCCTAGCGTTACACCGACGACAATGGCTATAGCGACGAGAGTGGCCGTTGCTATAGCGCATTGCAGAAAGGGCTTCCTCCTTGAATTGTATGCACTGTTGAAATCCATTTCTGAAAGATGTGGAAGAGAGAGGATTTAGGAACGAGGAAGTGGTTTGTGCTATTTCGTTTTCATTAGTTTGCTTTGAGTATTTAAAGATAAAAAAAAAGGATTGGCAGAGGGACGGCTAATTGGTAAAATTTCGAGTGATGAACAGGTGATGTGTACTAAAATGAAACGCATTCCTTGGTTGATTGAATCTCTACAACTTATTTTGGTATAGTTGGATTCTGTTCTAATGAATGATTTTGTTATATCTCGTTGAAGATTTTTAGTTTTATTTGGAGAGATGTATATATATATATTATTTGGGAAGAATATCACACCTAGATTTTCACCATCGTAAATAACAGGAACAAAATCTTAAATATGGCATGAACTGGAGGATACTATTGGTGAGTGACTCTCATGGTTTTTTTGGATAAAAATTATAGAAGCGGATAAGATATAAAACTCATATATACAAAATTCGACAAAGTCAAATCTTCATCCATTAATTAACTTTAATCTGGACCGCTATATATAACTTATACTAGTTTTGTGCCTGTCCAATGGGCGGCATTTTTTAATATTTTTTATAGCGATAGGTTATTACTTCTCTTTGTATATTTATTAAAATTATTTTTTATTCAAACTTTATTGTTTAATAATAGGGTTGCCATATGTTGTTTGATTGTGGCTAGAAGCAATGATCATGTAAAACAATAAGAGTCATAGTTTCATCACTATTTTGAAAATCATATTCACGATCATCTTCTCTATGATTGGTCAACAATTTTCAACATCATATGTTGTATATAACTTTTTATTGATTTCATGCATCCACATGTTTCAGCCAAAAATTGAGGGAATCTAATATTTTTTTAACCTCATGAAAACAAAATCACGCACATGATTTAAATTAGGTTTAATACACTTGCATAGCTATAACTTTCGCGATTTTGACAATAATAGCCACTTTTCAAAAAATACACAGTTGTAGCCCCCTTTAGGAAACTCGTTTGACAAAATTAGCCATTTCCGTTAAAAACTTTAACACCGTTAACATGAAGCTGATGTGGATGCCACCTCATCTCCCACATAAGCTCAAACATACCAGGTCACATGCCCCATCACTGCCAGATCATATTTTTAATTAAAATGGAAGAAAATTTTTGAATTAAAATAAAAGAAAAATGAAAATGAAATCCAAAACTCAATCCCCCAACAACCACTGCCAACCTCCCTCTGCGATGGCCATTTTTGCCGTCTGTTCCTCAAATCCCTTCTCACCCTCCTCCTAATCTCGTCCATCCCCGTCGCCTATTCATCTCCCTCGATCTCTCCCACCCTCCACCCACGTCTTCCACTACCAGAGCTAGGACGACTCGAGTGCCCCAAGTGGGATCCCCGTCGGCCGGTTATCGTCTCCATTGTCGAAGGCGGCGCCGGCGACCTGACCGGCAACTCATCGCTCGACTTGGTCGTGGACTGTCCGAGGAATCGGGTGCTGGTCACCTCCCGGTCTCTTCCTTCCCCTTCTTCCTTCTTTTCCCACTAGGGTTTCTGGGACTCAAATTAATTTGGGAGTTCAGATCTGAAGTCAGAAGAAGTAGGGAGATTTGGAGCTCTTCCGTGAAGTTGTGGGCACCGATATGGCGGCAGATTCCTCTGTTCCCAGAACATCGGCTGGTAAGGATGTGGAATCGGAGTCTCCATCGACATCCTCGTTCTAATCACCTCCATCACTCTCGCCTCCCGCTTCTGTACCCGCAACACCATCACTCCTCTGTCGCTTTTACAGATCCATAGAGCTTGGAGGTTGTGTGCGATTTTGACCAGACCTGGAATAGGAGAGCAGCTGCAACGAAAACTGAAACGAGCTGCTCTCGTCAGTTCCTTCCCTCTCCGCTGTGTTTGGTCGATTGAAAGGGAGAATAAGAGTATGAGTATATGGTTCTTACTGACCCGCTTTCTCACATTGGCTTCGAGCTCTCACGGAACCACCTCCGTCACTTGCTCCTTAGAACAACCACCGCAACCAATGGAAGACCAGGGTCATTGATTCCATAACACAATCCACCGAGAGATGCGAGGAGGTTAGTCGCGGAGAGGGAGATGTGTAGGTGGAGAGAGGGAGAGTGATCTGAGAATCGCCGACTCGCTCCTCCTCCTTCCGCCACCAACCCCTTATACCTCTGTTCTCGCCTTCCCCGAGCTGCCTGGGATTTTTGAATTGTGGAATTTTTGTTCCATTGGTTTTGTATATTGGAGATTTGTGGAGAAGAGTAGATGAAGCGGCGAAGGGAAGGAATGCCATGGCAGCCGCAGGGAAGGTCAAGCGGCGATGATATACATTTCTCTTTTATTATTTTTAAATATTTTTTCTTTTTTCCATTTAATATTATAATAAATAAGTCATTTCCAACTTGGCAAGATCAAGATGAAAAGTCAGCCACATCAGCAAGTGACGTTAGTCCAGTCAGCATGTGTCACTGTTCCGTTAACCTTATGGACGGAATGGCTATTTTAGTGTATTATTCAAAATATGGCTATATTTGTCAAAACGTGCATAGTTATGACTATGCAAGTGTATTAAACCTTTAAATTATCTATGAAATAATCGAATGAGAGGAATTTCAAGTTATTTCTTCTTTGTTGAATGTTGTTAGCGGATTAGCGGATTATTAAGCCCATTGCTCATTGATTAATTAAGCCCATTAATTGTACTTAGTTTATTATTGAGTTTTGGGTCCATGAAACCCATGCAGACGTAGGTGCATAGGGTTAGGTTTTATTTTGGTTTCCTTCTGTGTGAGGTTTTCTCTCGGCTTATATATTTTGGGAAGCAGCCGCTGCACCTGGTAGAAAACACAAAAACACATATCAGGAATAATAAGATCAGTAGCTGAAGAGCTTACACTCTTCCGTGGATTAGTCCTGGACATTCCAGGGATACCACGTAAATCCGGTTGTTCTTGCTTAGTTCTTTCAATTTGCTCATTTCCGATCGTTCAACAGTATAACTCAACTAAGTTAGAAGTTGAACATTCTGCTGGTAGTAGACTGCTCAATAGATTGTAAATTTGTTTTCTAATTGATACGTATAACCCTTTCCAATCATTCAAATAATGATCCATCTTGTCACTCATATAATTAAAGCCAAAAGAAACCATTTTAGATCCTTATGTACTCTCAAAAATATTTTGCAACTTCGATACCCCACACTTACAAAATCAATTAGAATTGAAATGTAACCGATCTTATAACTCATAGAACTAAACTCTACGATACCATTATAGATCATTATGTACACATGAACCTTACCGAGTTGTTTTTCAACTCAATTCTACGTTTGATGAATGTGCCTATCAACAAACTTAGCAGTTGATGAACCTTCTGGTGGCAGTAGATTTCTTAATCAATGATAAATCTATTCTTTAATTAAAAACACGTATAATTCACGTTGCTATTCAAACTATGATAGTACAAAAACATGTTGTATCATTGGTATTTTAGTATACGAAAAAGGTTAATGTCCTATTTTTTTTCTTGTTTTTTTGTTTGAAATGAGCTTGACATGAAAATTTAAATGAAAGTTTGCATTTCACCGATAACTAATGTCGCAACCGCCCCTCCGAATCGCGGGATTCGTTGCGAATAAGCTCGGAGTCGCCATCGACCTTACTGTGGTGGATCGAACACCTTTTTCCGGTTTTGTTATTTAGGTTAAAACCAGAAATCTGGTCTGCGAATTTTAGGTTTATGGGTTCGGGAGTACGATTACGTGTGGGGAAGTGTATTCACACCCCACAACGCCCCAAATGGGTACTACTTAAATCGATAAGTTTTTAAAGGTTGGGTGTTTATAATTTTTGCCTTATTTACGTATTTAATTGAATTATTTTAATAATTTTGGGTGTATTTTTAGAGTTCAATTGGACGATGTTATTATCGTAAATTTTGAACTGCTGTAGTTACTTGATAATGTTTACGTCTATTGACGTAAAAATATTTTTTAGATTGGTTGGACTCGAACCTATTGGTTGCCTACGTACCCGAGTAGTCGGGATCAAAGTCCACGTAGTTCGGTTTTGTGATGATTGAGTCTGATGATTTTACGATGTGGATTGGAATCTGGAAACCTTATGATATCTGTTGTGGCTTTACACTCTGTAAACTTTGTGGGTTATGAAAATGGTGGTTGAAAGGTGTGCCCGTGGTTTAGGCTATAGGTTGACTAGAGTAGTGGGGTTGTTGATCCTTTTGGTTTTACCTTGATTGAATAATATGGGATGACTGATTCTGGTTAGTTTTGATAAATTGATAGTGTTACGAATCTGGGTTGTGTATCGAGATTCATATGTTATGGTTTATGGCTGAAAATTATTGATGGTTTTGCGGTAGCTAGTTACTTTGGGGTGGTTTAATTTTACATAAGATGGGTGTCCTAACTCCCAAGTAAAATACAAAATATAGCAGAGAAAACAGAACTAGCTTTTATTGTAGCTCATGATATTAGTTATATAGACATGTTTGGGATTGGATATACTAATCAAAGCGACTGACACAAAACACAGAAAGGAAACATCTAGCTTTTACTTGTGGATATGCTCAATCATGGAAATATTTTAATAGATATACTGAAATGAATGACAAAAACTGATAGACTCTAAAGGAATATGATGAACTTATAAAGAAAGCAGTAAACTCGATTTGTTGATTTATTTTGCTATCATGGTGAGATTAGCCGTTTTGTAATTTGAATGGCGTTGCTTGAGCTTGGAGGTGGGTTTTGGCTTTTGGTAAACTTTAATTATGAGTCGACATGAACTAAACAAATGAATAATCAGTTGTTGGGTTATTTGTTGTTAACCAACCTTTTGCTTGCCCTTTGGTGAAGGGGATGGCTGCTGCCTCTTCCCCTAGCTTTTGGGAGCTTTGCTGGTTGCTACTGCCTTTGGCTGCTGCTTTTTGCTACTTATGACTTTGTGTGTTGTCGTTTGTTTGTGTCTATGAAGAAGAAGAAA